GCCCCCACCCACCATGGGGAGTAGCAATGAGTTGGGGGAGGAGTGTCTCCTTAGGTCCCCCCTGAACAATGAAGGAATGAATGGAAGGTTCCAGAATGTCATGCATTGGGTTTAGGGAGATGTGGGAGGGTGGGTGTGGGGACACCCACATATGAAGGGCCATGGGAAGCCTTTCTGGAGAGGCCGACGTCTGTGTACCCCATGTCCTCCCCGGCCCCATAGGAGTTCTGGAGACGAGCCCACACCTTGCTTCCTTGTCTCCCTCCTGTGATACTCAGTGTGCACACACTCTGAGTGGCTGCCATGCATGTGGTGGGTGCCGGGGCCTGAGCCCCTCTAGACTTCAGCAGCCTTGCAGAGACTGAAGTTTCCTCCTGTCAACAAGGAGCCTGCCCCGGGCGGAGCTGTGGCCTGCGCTCAGGCTGTCTTCGCTAGCTTGTCTGGATTCCGTACTTCACGGGAGGTGGGGGAGGTGGCTCCTTCACCACTTTCCTGTCCTCCTCTCTCCTGGCATCTTCAGCTCCTGTTGGAAATGGCAGCCCTGGTTTCCCTCCGTCCTGCTTAATCTTGCAGGGCCTCTGAGCAGCCAGAAAAGTCGGTCCCGAGCCAGGCTTCTGAGATGCAGCCTCAGGACTGTGTAGCATCACTTCCCCTGGGTCTACGTAATCACTAACCCTCTATCCAAGTTCAAGGGGAAGGGATGTACACCCCATCACGTGAGAAGAGAGTCAGTCAGACTCACACTGTGAGACGAGCAAGCAACATGGGAAATAGAGAAGGCCTAGTCTGCACAGAAACTCATTTCTGGGCCCTCTGTCTCTTCTGATACACCAAGGAGGAAGTCTCAGGTTGGCACTAGTTTGTCTTCAACTTTCCAATTTGCGCATTTCCCTTGGCTGGGTATGGGGATACCTGCCTGTAATCCCAGCACCTGAGGGCTGAAGTAGAAGGATGATGAGTTCCTGGTATCCTGGGTTACATAGCAGCACTCTGTCTCACACAGACAAGAGCCGACTTTAGGCTATCATGAATTAAATACCCTTTTCTCTCCAATGTGTTTGCATAACTTCATCAACTGTAAATCATTCTGAATTTCCATACTCGGTACTGATGTGACGTGAGTTTATAAAACACAACAACCTAAAGAGAAAAACTAAAAACAAAGCACAAGGTCTTCTTTGCTGCTGCACATGGACCCACTCGTGCACGTGATCCAGAACATTCCCTCCACCAGTGTGGCAAAAGCTTACGCACAAGCCGATGGCCATCGGCTGGGGAGCTGTGAGAGCATTCAGAGTGAGCCCGGACCCGGCAGAGAGGCGGCTGGAAGCTCGCTGGGGAGACGGGGCTGGGTGGCAAAGGCCCAGCACGGGTGTGCGGCTTGCCGGCAACGGTGAAAGTAAAAGCAGGACGTGGTCACGTGAACACTGGGAAGCAGGCGGGTGACGAGCAAGCCACACAGCTGTTGTCTCTGGGGAGGTAGACTCAGGAGACATACTGTCCACTGTAAAAAAATGTATATATATCACTACATATATATATATATATATATATATATATACATATGCCTTTTAAATTTGGAGCTTGCAGTATGTTATCTAGTCAGAGACTGATAAGCTTGGTATCTTCAAATACAAGAAAATGGCAGATCTTTCCTGCCTTCCAATGAATAAAACAAAAGGCTGTGTCTAGCAGTGGAGGGACGTGTTCCCTTCCCCTGCGGTGAGGTTCCACTGGGAAATGTATCACTCCCGGGGTCCTGGAGTTCAGTGGCGATGTCCACCATCCCACGGCCCTGCTGCAGCTCTTCTTCCTCTCCACAATGGACACTTGTGCTGTGACGTGGTTTCCAAGTTCCCCCCATCCGCCCTGTCAATGGGAACTCAGCCTCCCCTCTGGGCCCTGAGCTCTGCAGGGTAGTCCCAAGCCGCATGCGCAAGCTGGCTGCCCAGTGCCTGGTGAGTGCAGAGCCCATCCTGAGGGGGTGCCTAGACTGGGCACGTCAGCCAGAAGCTAGAGCTTGCACCCCCGGGGCTTGGCTGCTTTGGAAACGATGTGAATGAACCAGGGGATGTTGGCCCTTCCTGCCATCACCCTCCATGGCCCCTCCATAACTGCCTACTGCTCTTGTGATCAGACAGCTCAGGGTGCTCCTTTCCCAGGGCGGTCCCCAGAGGGACATGAGACCCCTTTTCTCTCATTAAACTGCAGGTGTGCAGATAACATGTCTCTCCACTGGAAAAGCAGAACAACTACATAGCAACCAAGTTCACCTCACGCCTCACTTTTTCCAAATGATATGTTCTTGCTCTCTCACTCTCTTTCATTTTTGTTTGGGGATTTGAACTGAAGACCTATGCTTGCTCAGCTTGCTTGCCTGGCTGTTGCTCTACCACTTGAGCCCCACTTCCAGCTCTGCTTTTTGCTGGTCACGTTGGGAATGGAGTCTAGCAGACTTTGCTGCCCAGGCTGGCTTTGAATTGCAATCCTCTAGATCTTAGCCTCCTTTGTTGCTAGGATTACAGGGGTGAGCCACTGGTTTCCAGCTTAGAGACAACAGTCAGGCACCAAATAAATAAACACAATGCATTTAGGCATTCCCTGACTGCTGACATTTGCATCTTTTCCAGACCCACAGCTGCTTTGGGTGTCTTTTGGCCCCCCGCATCTGAGTGTTTTTCTTGGGAACATACAAATCGCCAAGTCATAGGATGTGAAACTTTTGTTTTTAACAAGTAATGCTAATTTGCCCTTCAGAATGGGCAAGCAAGTGAGCGTAGGCTAATGTATTCTCCGGTGAGCAGCCTTTGAGCATGCCAGCTCCAGTGCGGCCTCTGCAGCACCTGAGGCCTTCAGCCGCCTCAGCACTGCCAGCCGCAGGTGGCAGATTCTATCTTGTTACAATTTATTTCCTGATTTCTCATGAGGAGCAAGTGTCTCCGTGGGTCTGTTGGCTGCCCTCGTTCCCTTGTGTGAATCCTTCATATTTGTTGCTTTCTTCACCTCATCCTGTAGCTATTCTCCTATCTTGTCTTCTGATTGTTTCTAGCAAGATTTTTAGTATTTGGGTTTTGATTTGTTGTTGTTGTTGTTGTTTTAATCTTGTTTTGTAGTAAACTGGGAATTGAACTTAGGGCCTTGCACTTGCTAGGTACTCTACCATTTGAGTCATGCCCCCTTCCCAGCCCTTTTGTTTTTAGTTTGTGTTTCAGATAGGGTCTCATACTTGTCAGCCTCAAACCATGAGCCTCCTACCTCTACCTCTCAAGCTTCTGGGCTTACAGCATGTCTCGTCCTGCTCAGCCCTAGCAGTGTTTATTGATCCAGTCCTGGGCTTTACTCTTTTGACGCTGAGTCGTTGGGGAGGAGCCAGGAGACTGGAAAGGCCGGGAAGCCTCATGTCACCTACGCGGCCTCTCCTGGCCCAGGCTCCTCCCGAGAGTCAGGCCAAGTGACTCCCAAGGCAGTCACGCAGGAGGCCTCCGTGAGGTCTTCCTTCCTACTCCAAGTGAATCCGCACTTGGCCCTCCAGATGTAATCAGCCTATCCCGAGGGCCATGGCAGGCCTGTCCAGGGCTACAGGAGGTGGTGCAGGAGTTCCACAGGCAAGTCACCCCAAAGTGGTATCTCCTTATCACCCCGAAGGATGGTGTTGTGCCGGGGTCTGGGCACGCCGCCTCATCTCTCCCTAACTGCCCCCCAGGGTCTCATGCAGAGCGTGCGGAGCTCAGGCTCCCACCTGCTCTCTGTACTGCAGTTTTCTGCAGAAATCTCCCCATTCTCACAGGGCTTTGATGTCTCAGTGGCTTCTCTGAACGTTGTTCCTCTTTGGGTGCTGTCCTTCCTTTTTCACTGTGTGTGGGGGGGGCTGGTAAGTGCTTCCCTCTGCAGCCCCTAAGGCCGTTTGCTTCATGGCGGGGGCAGGGGGGGTGGTCACTTCCAACTCCATCTACTTTTCAGGCCCCATATCTAGATCAGTTCCTCTGCAAAGGCCGGCAGAGGGGGAGCCAAACCGTCCTGCTGGTGGAGTGGGACTGGGCCTGGGGGGGGGAGAGAGAGAGAGAGAGGGCAGCTATTTTGTTCTTAATGAGAAAATGCTGTAAGTCTTGACTAAAGACATAAACCCTAGTTACCACAAAGAAAGTGCTTCTGCTAGTGCGTAAGATGGCTTTTGTCCCATACTGCAGACTAGACATCAGGAGAAAGCCACTCAGGATGGAACGAGAAGTCCAGATTACTAACAAAAGCCTCAACAATGAGGGACCTTCTTCCAGGCTCCCAGGCGTTCAGCCATGCCTCAGGGCCTCGCACCTTCTGGGCAGAGCTCTCAGCTGCCAGATGCCCAGTCGTGGTCTTGATGCTGTTACAAAGGGCAAGACTCTCCTGTACTGACTGTCTGCACGTAGCTTAGACAAACAGCATCCCCATGGTAAACTGCCTGGTCCGTAGGAAGCCTGACATACTCCTGGGATTCTGCCTGTTGTTGTTTCCGTAGTTTGTTGTTGTCTTGGTGCTGGGGATTGAACCGTGGACCCTGAGCCTGCTTGGCAGGCCTTTAACCACCGAGCCATACCCCCAGCCCTAGTGTTCTTCTTCTTGTCGTTTATCATTCATGGGGTTTGAACTCAGCCCTGGGCACTGTCCCTGAGTGATTTTTGTTCAAGGCTAACATTCTACTACTCTGAACCACAGTTCCATTTCCTGTTAGTTATTTTTAAGCTAAGACTCGAGTACCTCCTATGCAGTAAGTTGGTTTGTGTGACATTTGCATGAGTGTGCATTATTCCCATTTTTCAGTGTAGGAATCTGAAACTCAGACAGGTGGAGACACTTGCCCGGCATCACTGACTGAGAAGCAACTCAGACTCAGCTCTGTGTGACTCAGTGCCCACACTCAGACCCGTGAACTCATGGGTCTGCCCAGCCACTTCACAGACGAGAGGCAGCCAGGCTGGGTAGCCACCCTGGGTCTCATTCTGCTCTCTGCTCCTTTCTCCTAGATAACAGCGACTTGATTGCTTGCACAGTGATCACTAAGGACGGCGGCATGGTCCAACGGTTCCTAGCCGTGGATATTTACCAGATGAGTTTGGTAGAGCCTGATGTGTCCCGGCTTGGCTGGGGAGTGGTCAAGTTTGCAGGCCTTTTACAGGTAAGGTGGAATCTCCTCTCAATGGCTATACAAAACATGTATCCTAGATTACCAGCTTTTCAACCCGTTTCTGATGACACAGGAACATGTAAACAAATTGCCACTAAAAATAGCCAAAACATGACACAGGTAAGTCCAGAACCTCACGGTCAAAACCCTCAGTGCTTACACCTCCCCTGAAATAATCAGGCTGCAAGAGATCCCCTCACTATTTTTTAAATTGTGACATCAGCCTTTCATAGCTGCAGGTTCTACATCTGCAGATTCAACTAAGCATCCAGCAAAGTCCTTGAAAAAAATTATGCTGCACTAAGCATGTGCAGACTTTTATCCTTAGTTCCTTACCAGCCTTTTACACACAGCATGACTGAATTAAGTATTTCAAGTCACCTCAAGAGGATTTAAAAGTGCACATTTTATATGAAGACTTGAGCAACTGCAAATTCTGTGTCTTCAGAAGGTCCTGGAACCAGGCTCCCTTGATAGCGAGGGACAATTGGGTATGTACTAGGGTGCATACGTTAGTTATGAAGTCGTATTCACACATGCCAGGCTTGGCTTCATTCACTCAGTGGCATGCTTTGAGAGCTTTTTTTTGTTACTGGCTGGTCCTGGCTTTGTACCTTTCCAAACAGTACTGCTGTGAACAGAATCACATCACTTCCTTATGCACACGGGCAGGATTGCCTAGGCAAATAACCAGGAATTTGGGATGTTCCTATTTTAAGTGATGATAGACAAGTCCAACTTCCCCTACAATGACTGTTGCCTCCAGCAATTTATGAGAATTCCCTTTCTCCTCTCTTCCCGCCTCCCTCCCCTCCTCGACCCATCACAGAGTGGTTCTACATTACCCAATGCCCAGTTGGAAGTTGGGGCTTTTTTTTAATGTTTGGCAATACCATGCAGTGGTTGACTAATGCCAGCCAACCCAGTAAGTATTGAAACAATGAGCCGGCAGAGTTGAGAACAGCCTTCCAGCTAACTCTGCCATGCCCCTGTCCTCGAATTTCCAGCAAACGTGTCCCAGCCTGAAAGTCACAGTCCATTTCCTGACCGTGAAGTTCTGCTTCCTGCAAAGATCCTACCCTGGCTGACCTACTTCCGCCTTACCACAGCATGACCTGGCTGTGTCCCCCTGTCCCTGAGAACCACCCACACGTGTGAGACACCACTGAAGCCTCATTTTCAGGATCTTCCAGTTTAGGGAATACCTGTTAGAGCAGATACCTGTAATTCTAGGAGGTGAGATCTGAAGGATCATGGTTTAAATCCAGCCCAGAAAGAAAAGTCCAAGAGACTCCATCTCCAATTAACCAGAAAAAAGTTGGGCTACAGATGTGACTTCAGTGGCAGAGCTCCAGACAAGTAGGCATGAGACCCTAAGTTCAAATGTCAGTACCGGCAAAATTAATTAATAATAATTTTTTTTAAATCTTTTAGAGAGCATATTGAGAAAAAAGAATCTTTTATTTAAAAACAGAAAACAAAAAAACACTTGCACCAGGCACAGGGGTTCACACTTGTCATCAGCTACACTAGGAAACATTACTAGAACTATGGTCTAGTCTGGCCCAGGCAAAAAGCAAGATCCTGCCTCAGAAGTAACCAGAGGGGGGCCAAAAAGATGGGGCCGCAGCTCAAATGAGAGAGCCTGCCAGCAAATGTGACACTGTGAACGTAAACTCTAGTACCGCCAAAAAAAAACAACACCTTTTTTTAAATGAATAAAGACTTACATGTAAAACATTCATTAGGTGACTTATACTTCTTATTTATCTAGACTTATGATCGATTTCTTTTAGAATTTAGTGTCAGGAAAGTGTTTTTCTCTTACAGAGGATTAATGGGGACCTCCATCAGACGGTGAAAGCCACATAAACCTTTTTTTTTTTTTTTTTTTGGTCCTCTTCCAATAGCCACTATTTGTCAGGTTGTCACAACATACCAAGCTCCCTGCTGGGAATTCTAATTTTGATGCAGGTGATGTTTCCAAAGCGCCCGCCCGCCCGTGCCCAATGCGATGCCTGAAGACTGTAGCCCATCTTCCCCTGGGAGCCTCTTCCAACACCGCCCACCTCCCCTGGCTTTCCTCCACTTCCTTCACAACTTTGAGGAAGTGCATTCTCCACACAGAATCATTCTGAGGTTTTATGTGGAACTAACGCTGTCATGCTTGCTGGCCCACCCTTCCTACAGGGTTTATTCAAAGCCTCCCTGGTCCTTTCTGAGGATTAGCTTTTCTCTCTAGGAGCAAAAAGACACAGAAAAGGATGCCAGCCATGAGAAGGGAGAAGCCGGGGATTGTCCCTGATCTCATGCCAGGCACAGTAGGGATGTGGGTTTGCCCGCTGTTTCCCAGAAGTAAGAATTGTTGGACTTGGCCTGTTGAGCTGCCAGTGGGAAGGCCACCATGCCAGCATCAGTTCCTTCCCAGCACTCTGCGGCCTGCCCTATCTGCTCCCATTGTGCCCATCCCAGACTATCAGACTTGAGAGTTGGTTGTCTCCCCTGGAGCAAAAGAAAAGTGGAATTAAGGACGTCTTTCTAGGTGGTCCCGTGGCCCCGGAGAAAAACGCTGCCCTCCTCCCAGGTCTGACGCGTGCCCCGGCCTTTGTCTCCTCATGCTGCAGGACATGGAGGTGACTGGGGTGGAGGACGACAGCCGTGCCCTGAACATCACCATCCACAAGCCTGCGTCCAGCCCCCACTCCAAGCCCTTCCCTATCCTCCAGGCCACGTTCATCTTCTCAGACCACATCCGCTGCATCATCGCCAGGCAGCGGCTGGCCAAGGGCCGCATCCAGGCACGGCGCATGAAGATGCAGAGGATAGCTGGTAAGTGGCCTGGCCTGGCCTGGCACAGGATCTTCCTGGTCCTCACGGGAGACACTTCCACAGCCCTATCATGTCCTCTAGGAGAGGGCGCGTGTGGTAGGGATTGACTCACTTTAAAGGAATGAGACTCTACTTTCCCACGTGTTTCCCAAGGGTTTGCTTTCCTGAGAATGTCCATGGCTGCAGGGGTGCCTTCCTAGCAGGCCATAGGACAACCATTGTCTCCTCCTTGCCGAAATCCCCAAGCTTACAGTTATAAGTATCTGTCATTTCTCTACCGCCTCGCCTGTGGATTTGTAGGCCTTCTACCCATTTATAGAGGGAGAAACTGAGGCACAGTGACTTGTCAGAGCCACACAAAGAATAAGTTGGCAGAATGAGTTGCTGCTCTAGATCAGCTATTTGGTTGGTTGGAGGTGCTAGGTTTGGACCCCGGCTCGGCAAGTACCAACCACTGAGCTCCAGCCCAGCCCAGCAGAACTTTCTTCTCTAAAGGCCCCCTCTTCCTCCGTCTTTCCCCAGCTCTCAGGAGGAGCTGCCCTGCTTGGCAGGGGGCCACAGCCCAGCAATGAATTGGGAAGTTTTTCATTTCACAGGGTTTGGGACAAATTTACAGGAAGGCTCTGGGTCTTCTTAGCAAAGGTACTGTTCATCTCTCAGGGGCGGAGCCACAGTGGTAGGGGAGGGTCCTGTCAAGCCTTCTGCCTTGGGCTTGGCAGCCCATGGGCAGGCAGGCACCTATCAAGGCTGGGTTTCTGGACAGGGCAGCCTCAGGGGTGTGCTGGCCCTGCCTCACGGTCTGGGTCCACACTGTCCCCTTTCTTCTACCCAGCTATAGACTTGGCCTACAAAATCATTACAGAAGCATGTTGTAATGTACAAAGTGTCTTAAATCATTCAGCCCTTTCTTTCTTTGAAGATTTATTTTCCAACGTTTTTTTTTAATGTAAAGCCATTTCTCATAGCTGGCACGAAGGCCAAATATTTCATTTGAAAATTGAGAATTATGCTGTAAAGTGGTTGTTAGAACTAGCGCCTTAGGTAGTTCTTAAATTGATTTTAAAAGGCCCCTCTGAACTGATATACCAAGAGATTTGTTTACGGAGGAGAGGGGAGCAGCCATGACATGTAAACACTCTCATAAATACACACACACACACACACACATCTACCTCTTCTTCCCCCATGTGAACATACTCAGCATTCCACATCATGGATGAGAACCTCTAGAAAAGAATGGCTTCTGGACTGAACATGCACAGACCTGCTTCCTTGTCAGTGCTCGCTGCACGATGTGGTATGGCCACTTTTTCCAAAGCATTGATCGCATTGAGTGTTAATTATCCAGAGGTGACTTCCAGTACAGGGAGGCTATGTGTAGGATGGACAGATAAACAGTGCCATTTAGGTAAGGGACTTGAGCAATTGCAGTTGTCAGTATATCTGGGGGTCCTGAGGCCCAACTCCTACAGATGCCAAGGGACCATTCATGGAGAGAAAGACACGTACATATGTATGTATATATAATTATATATGTATATGTGTATATGAATGTATAGTTGTCAGAGTAAAATTGGCCCCATTGTATATAAAGAACTAGTGAGGGTCTTTTGAGACATTCTCACTTAGTGGCTCAGGTTGGTCTAGAACCTGTGATATTCCTGCCTCAGGCTCCCAAGTCCTAGGAATACAGGCCTATGTTAGCATGTCTGGCCTGGTGAGCATCTTTTGTCAGGGGTCTTTGGAAGCTGAGATCCCAAGAGAAGCATTAGCCCAGCAACCGTTCTAAGAGCCAAGTGTAGAACCCTCCCTTCCTGGTCTCAGCCTTGGCCTGAGGCCCTCACCAAATGCCTAGTTGTGTTTTATGATTTGAGCCACAAGGGGATCAGTATTCTGCTGGTGTCCCCGGTTCAAGGCTGTCTGCTTGGCATCTCCCTTGTGCCGTGACTGGCAGGGCCATGGCTTCTAAAGCCTGTCCTGAGACTCCTCGTCGCCTGTGCCTTTGCCACTTGCTGAAACCATGTGGTTTGATTGTAGCCCTGCTGGACCTCCCCATCCAGCCAACTACCGAAGTCCTGGGATTTGGGCTTGGCTCCTCCTCATCCACCCAGCACCTGCCTTTCCGCTTCTACAACCAGGGCCGGCGTGGCAGCAGTGACCCCACAGTGCAGCGCTCCGTGTTCGCCTCTGTGGACAAGGTGCCAGGTAAGGCGGGGCCTGTGCAGCCTTCCTCTCAGCTCCTCCGCATGCACTGAACTCAGTCCAAGTTAACACGAGCCCCAGAAAGTCACCTGGGCTTTCCCTCGGTTCTTCTGCAGTCTGGGTTCCGATTTCCAGAGGTTCATTGGGCATGTGGAAGAGCTTCTCAGAACTGAGACTAAGAAGTTTCTTGGAAATTTCTTGGAAATACTTGAATTATTAGTAATGAGGTTGTGGGAGTGATCTCCCCGACGGAAGCTGCCTACAAGATAGTGCTTGTGGTTCCTAGTACCAGAGCTGAAGAAGTGAGACTTCCCAGGAAGCCACTCTGCCCAGTTCCTTCCCTTCCGTTCCTTCCTCTGGAGGCCCCCCTCCCTCCTGTTCGCCTCCCCCAGAGGAAACTGGAAGGGAAAGGTCAAGGGCATTTTGGCTAGCAAGAGTTGCCTGTTTTTCCGGTGTTGCAGGCTGTAAGTGTATCCGTATGTTCGCCTCAGATCTTCCATCCCTGGAAAGGGGGGGGGAACGGGGGGGGGCGGGCCTTCTCTCCACTACAAATCCTAGAGAGCAGCCAGGCTTCCTGCCACCTCCCCCTCTGCAGCCAGGGCTCCAGCTGGAGTCGCAAGTGTTGCTTGCCACTCTCAAAGTTTGGTTGACATAAGAAGGCGCAGTCCTAGGAAGCTGCTCCAGCGCAGGTCCTTGTCTCCCGGGGTCTGTGCTGCAGTCCCAGTTTGAGTTGATTCTCGTGTGTCTACATCATATGTACACGGATGAACCTGAGACACAAATAACCGTACACTCAAAATGCAGCCGTCTGGTTTTGATGTGAGCAGTCAGAACCCAGTAACTTTGAGGCAGATCTTACTGTTGGGTTTTGTGCATGGCCTTCCACCACCTTCTGTATGTCTGCGAGTACAAACATGGGGCTACCCCCTGCGTGGCCATCTGCACCTCACTCGATGCCAGGGCAGCTCCACAGTGGCACCTCTAGTGGCTCTGCCTTTCTTAGCTGCTGTGTGCTACTCTAGCATCAGTATGGACCGCAGCGTCTTATAGAGCCATACTGGTCACAGCGAACACTCAGGGTGTCTTTGTGTCATTGTGCTGATCTTCACATGTCTGTGGAGTAGATTGCCAAGTCAGAGGAGGAGAGGAAGGTCTCTAGCCTTGACACAGGTAGTCTCAACATGACTCCAGATAGTTCCCTGTTCACCATGCTGCCACAGCCTGTGACAGGCTCTGTCCTGAAAGATGAACCTGAGCTGGAGTCATAGCAGCCGCCTGCATTTTCCAGCTAGCAGGTGTGACTGAGCTCTGCCCTTCCAGCCTCTGGAATGCTCCCAGTTCAAGTTCTGGAGAGATAGAGGACTGCTCTAGGTCAGCTGCATAGGGCCTGGCTTGGTGACAGTCGCTTGGTCTGGGTCACCAGGTTTCTTTCCTCTAGACACTCAATGGCATAGGAGAAAGCCTGGACCTGTTTCCAGGCTAATCTTTTGTGGAACACAAAACTATAAGCAGAGCAGAGTGCCGCATTCCGTAGTGCCTGCATATCAGTTCCATCGGCGGAGCGTGTGGTGATGCCTGTGTCCTTGCCCCTCCCACTCCTGGGCCTGGGCCCACCAGGCGGGCTAGGTGGCATACCTGGCTCCCCCGTGTCCTGCTGGTCCCCAACCAGGGCCTGTGAGGCTGTGCCAGCAGATACCGCAGCATGTGACAAGGCACTTCCCGAAGTGGCATTCCCACACTCCCTCCCCGGAAGTGCCATGCGGTGTTAGGAGGGCAGAAGACAGCATTGTTTATGTCCCCCTAGGAGGACAACCTCCCTGAGCACCTTCCTGCCCTGCTGGGCAACAGAGCACATGGCAACCTGTACCTCCAGAGGGGCTGTGGGCAGTGGTTCTGGGTGGAAACCGTCACAGCCCTTCCCAGAGCCGCACCCCTGCGCACCTCATCCAGACCCTCCCAAACCTGGGGCTGCAGCCTCCTCTTTGGTTTCCCCAGACTCCAACCCCACCCCTTTCCATTCAGACACCTAGATCTGTTCAGAGCATAGGTGAGATCATGTTGTACGGTGGTGCCCTGCCGTACAACTACCCAGTAGCTTCCTATGACACTTACCACAAAATACATGTATCTCTTTTTGATCTGTTTTTACACAAAGGCCAGTTTTTCATACCTAGTATATATGTATGGTACACAGCACAGATTTTCAAACTTGCTAAACATGTATAGCCTATAGTACAAAGTTTTTATACTTAGCACATATATATGCCTGATGTGTGTGTGTGTGTGTGTGTGTGTGTTGGTGTATTGGTTTGTGTTGGTCCTGGGCCTTGAACTCAGGGCCTGGATGCTGTCTCCGAACATTTTAGCTCAAGACTAGAGCTCTACTGTTTGAGTCACATCCCTGCTTCTAGCTTTTTTGTGGTTGATTGATGATAAGAGTTGCATGAACTTTACTATTGGGGCTGTGATCCTCAGATCTTAGCCTACTAAGTAGCTAGGATTACAGGTCTGAGCCATCAGTGCCCAGTAAGCTTTCTTGAATAAATAAATGGGTGGGTAATTTACTAGGAAACTAACATTTCTGGTCATTTGGCTTTCAAATACATGACTGATTTGATCTTACATTTAAGTTCTCTATTGGTGGGAGGCTTGTCTAATTTAATACCAGCCTAACTTTTTGAGGACTTAGTATGCCTAAGCACTACTTACTTGAAGGGTTGTTTTGATGGGTGCCACAGAAATATAGCTTAGGTAGAGCAGAAATTTTGGATCAGAATTCTGATCTGTTAATGATGCTCATGTCTTACCTATGGGATGAAGAGAAGGAGTGGGACTTCTCCGTTGATTATTTTGGTTAGGTTAAATCTATTCTGAGTTTCTGTTTTACTTTATTGTTATTTTTAAGGTGATGTACAGAGGGATTACAAATTAAATGAGTCAGGTAACGAGTACATTTCCTTTGTACAGTGTCATCCCTTCCTTTACTCCCATTCCCTCCCTCCCATCTCCACCCACAAGTTGTATAGTTCACTTTCATCAGTGTCCAGTGAGCTCTACTGCTGTACTTCTCCTTTTTATCTTATTCTGTTGCTGAGACAAAGCTCGAGGCTCAAGACAACCCTTCGAGGCTTCCTTTGAACCTTCCAACCCCTGGCTGTCTGCAGCTCCCCTACAGAGTGCCAGCGCCACGCTGTCCTGGGCTCAAGACACCTCACACTCTGGGCAGACAAACCCAGAGAGCACCCCTGGTGTGTGGATAGAGCTGTCTGTATTAGAGAAATGCTTTTAGAAATCAGTTCATAAGTCCATTGTATATAAACAGAAACATGGTTTTCTAGAAACAATAATTTCCAAAAAACAAAAAATCCGCTGTCTATTCTTCATGCCTGGAAAATAGACAGCTGGTGCCTCCTCCCTGCTGCTTTCAGTCAGCCGCACGCCTGTCTCACGTGGTCTCTGGAAACTCCTCTTGCATCCCCAGGAAAAGGAATATAAACAGGACCTTTTACTATTTTTAGGAAAACTTGGATTCCCAGAGCACATTTTAAGAACCACTGCCATGCCTCCAGGCCTTTGCACAGATGCCCCTGCCTAGATCTGAGGTGACTGCCTCCCACTGACTGCTCCAATCCAGCTTGTGTGCGGCCTCCTCCAAAAGGCCTTTTTTGGGCCATACCCATAATCTATTCAGGAGGCTGCAAGCTGAGAATCGTAGTTCGAAGCCAGCATGGGAAGGAAAGTCCCTGTGAAACTCTTATCCCCAAATAACCATCGGAAAACAAGAAGTACTATTGTAGCTCGAAGTGGTAGAGTACTAGCCTTGTGCAAAAGAGCTCAGTGACTGCACCTGGGCCCTGAGTTCAAGCTGACCCCCATCTTCCCCAAACAAAAAGGCCTTTTCTGATCACTGCCCTGGGCAGGGTTACACCCACCCTTTGGCACATCAGCCTTGTTTTCTATATGGCATCAGTTTTTTTTTTTCCTGACATTGTGTGCCTGCCCATGGCCTTTCTCCACCAAGGAAAATGTCACCCACATGGATCCCTAATCTGTCCTGTTTGCCGCCGCCAGACCTCATAGCCTAGCACTGTGGCTTTGGTGATTGAAAGTGAATCTCTTGACAGCTTTGGCTGGCCCAGACCTGGCAAGGGCTCTGTCTCCCTTGTGTGAGCACCAGAAAGACCAGGATGTTCCCCTGAGGCCCTAGTCAATTTACTGGTGAGTCTGGGATGCTTTGACAAAAGACATGAGATCTCTGAGACCCCATTCTTCTGTCACCCCAGTGAGGGAAAGGCACCTGGGACAAGTGCACCCAAGTGATCATTCAGGGTTTGCACATCACAACTCAGCACCTGCCACTGTGGACCAGACCCCGTCTACCTTCCATGGTGCTGACCCTCCCCATCAGACCCAGGCTACATGCTGGGGGTGTCTGCAAGTGGGCCTTCCATCCCAGCAGCTGCCCAAGACCTGTCCTGTCATACTGCCTCTGTCCTGTAGAAAGTGTAAATGGTTATACTAGATGAAGATAGCCCTTCCATCTCCTTGGGGGGAGGCATTGAAGGAGAGAAGTAATCACCAGCTCTGCTTTTTGGCCTGCTTATATCCTCTTTGCCCCCACGGTGCTGGGCTTCAGGGGAGGCAGTGGCTTGAGCCGGTAGCTAGCCAGGCCTGGCACTGTCAGGCCTAAGCTCAGCTCTGCAGATCCTAGCCCCGCCCCCCCCCCAGGCAGGTGTGTCTGTCCTCAAGCTTTCCTCTAACCAGAACCCTCAGTGTTGAAGTCTGAGCCCACCCCAGGCCCTCTCCACCAGGCAGCTGCTTTTCATTTCTTCAATTGGACTGACATTCACAGAACATAAAATGGACCATTTGAAAGTGAACAATTCAGTATTATGCCGTCATCACCTCTGCTAACTGCAAAACCTGTCCCCGCATCCAACCCCAAGCCATGTAGCTGTCCCTCCCCGTCCCTCCTCTCCCCCACCCCGGGTAGCCACTAAGCT